GCGAATGGCCGAGCATGCAGCGGCGGTGAGGAAGAAAGACGCCAACTTCCAGATTGCAGTTCACTCGACGGAACCCGGCCATATTATCAAGTTTGACGAGGCAGAAATCCTCGCAAGAGGTGACAACCGTGTGAGCCGCGAGCTGCTCGAGTCATGGTTCTCAGCCCCCCAGTCCATCATCAAGCGCAAGGATTTGGCGTTACCATACGGTGTACTGACAAGTTTCCTGAGCAAGTGAATCAGTCACGTGGGAAGGGCCGGACGCAGCAACAACTCTGACGACAACGGGCATAATTTTCACGCAGCTATCAGGCCCGCATCTGACACTGACAAGGCAATTGTGGCAATTAGTGAGTCGAACGCGAAGTGCCAAGCCAGTACCACATCAATTAAGATCCAAGCGGTGGCCACTATGAACTGTAAATACCCTGCAACCTATGTATGTTTCAACCCTATCAGCGCATGACTATGACTATGCATCTATCACCTATGAGAAAGGACTCCCGACGGAATCCAAAATGTCAGGAAAATAAAACTCCTGTTCCAGTGGTCGCATTCTCTTCTTCTAAACTGCTTCCTGGAACTCGCATATTCCCCACTATAGGCAAAACAAGTGTGGTTAAAATCACGGTTCCCAGTGGGAGCCTGGCGGCTCAGTTGGCTAGCGCACTGGCTGCACCAAAGCCTTCCCCGTGCTGATGTGGGTTCGAATTTCACCGAGACCGCCGAGTTATTCACAACTGGACCAAATATATACTAAGTATTGCTTGCATCATCAAGCTTTATTTCCATAATGAAGCGTAAGACCTGCCTCAGCGTGTATTGATGAAAAAAACCGAGAGTGTGTGCATCCGAAGCAATTTCAGTTTATTTGGTGAGGGTAGTAGGCAATGCCTTTGAAAATCCTATTGATTACATGCCGGTGCGTCCTATATATCTGTACACGCATTCATAAAAGTGGTCACTATTTTAAGTAGTACTGAAAAACTGTGAGTAGAATTGTTTTTGCAAATAACTTTGAAGTTTGTATGGTGAAAGTTCGAGTTCATACTGTTGAAGGACAACACGGGACACATGTAATTATCGAAGCATTACTTGAACAGCTATAGGGAAGTGACCTCCACGACTAATTTCGGGAGCTAGTACAAACGAACATGCGTGTCCCAGGAAGTAATTGAGAAGAAGAGGAAGAAGATTCGATCGCTAGCACAACACTTTTATTCGCCTGACGTCTCGACATCCATCGCGGATTCTTCATCAGCGACATCTTCCTGTGCAGTTTCATTGTGCGTCAACGGAGACGTGGCGAGAGGTGCCCCTGAAAAATGTCCTCAAATTGAAATGCTTTCTCAAGGCCGCGTTTTATCTTGTAACTTCAGATAAAAGTCCTGTTTGTTGCCTGCTATACAGAGGGAATAAATGTAGGCATTCCAGCCTTTCCACGCAAGAGTTGTTTTTTGGATTTCGTACTAGCTTTGTTGCTCGAAGCTGCACTTTCTCCAGACATGTTTCTTTTGCAAGCCATGGTCGCCATGCCTCTATGCCATATTCTAGATGTGGTCGAACGAAGGTGCCTTACAGTTTGCCAGAGAGATCTTTGTCGAAATGCCATTTTGATAGTGTGCAGTACTGCAGTAGCTTTGTTTGCAGCCTTGACACATTGTAACGATGGCTTCCGATTGTTCTCTATCCAAATACCGAGACGCTGCTGCGAAGATTCTACGGGGATTTGAGTCTTGTTCAGGTTATATGTCCTTATAATGTGAGATATCGTATAGTTCGTTGGATGCAGGTGGGGGGACGGCACACTTTTGCACACTGAACTCTAGGAACTACCTTTCGGACCACATCTGCAGTCTGCAAGGATTATTATGCGGAGCTTCTCGGTCGCTCGGACGCTTAATGACCTGCCAAAGCTTAACGCCGTCGGCAAATATGATCTCAATGCAGTCCAGTTCTTGAAGGCTGTCATGAACATAAAGGATAAGGAGTAAAAGACCGAGGACGGAGCCTTGAGGAACACCACTATCCACGCCCATGCAATCA